TGTTGCCTACATTTTTCAGGTTATATGCAGAAAAATCATATAAAGGAGAGCTGCAAAGTTAGCAAGTCACCACAAGCCTTGAAAGAGGTAGAGCATCTGAAGGCTGGGATCTGGGAGGCCAGATGAGGCAAGGGTTCCTTTGAATGAAATAACAGATCATTTATCATATCCATAGAGTTATAGCATTTTTTTAAAAAAATATGTTACATTGATTGAGATTTCAAACATGCTAAAATTGAGCCCTAGGTAAATTAGTTCAGCTCTTGAATGAAGCTGATGTGGGAACACAAAGGTTCAAAACTGATTTTGAACTGGTACAGAGTCCTTGTGTGGAAGTAATGATAGTAAATCCTGCAGGTTTTGCTGTACCTACAAAATGTTTTATAAAATCTTATTTTTCAAAACAAAACAAAAAACAAAAAAACCCTGCTATCTTCATTATATAAGCTAGAGGAAATTTCCTAGGACATATCGTATGTTAACATATTAATGAAAGGTATGAAAAGGTTATTAATAATATTATCTAAAAATTGAGATTGATCTAGGAATATATTTAATTTGGGTCAGTCCATCCAACTGCTATTCATAAACACTAACCATAGACTGGACCATTATCTGAAATGAAGGTTCTCAGGATTATTACTGATCATTTCCAATTCTTTTTAGTTATTCAATTAACTTGCACTGTTCATCTTAGGTAGAACATTACAGAGTAGAGGTAGATCTGGTGGGGATCTATTCTAATGTACTCTAATGTATTCTAGAATGGATCACCCTTGTTGGTGGGGATGTACAACAACAGGTAATTAAATTGCAGTCCTTCAGCCCATTGGAATTGAGATGAGGTTCTAGGGACTCCAAGAATGACTAATCAAATGACACTGAAAAAAGAAAGAAAAAAGGATAAAGATGCTGCACCTTAGATGCCTCAGATCTTCCACTCACACTATTTTATTCAAAACAATGAATTTAGAATAAACAAAAAATAAAGACTATGTGCACTTGCTCCCTTTCACTGTAGAGGAAGTAACGTACAGGAAGAGGACAACCATATGAGGATGCTGTAAATGGCTAGAATCACTGGGAAATGGCAAGAGGGGGGGGAAGACTGGATGCACATGAGCAAAACCGTATGGATCAAAACTGGGTGTCAAAAATGTGGTTGTGCAAAACTGTTTACCATATATAACAAGTTCTGGTCTATATTTATCAAACACAGATGTGAGAGACTGTAAATAACTTGATGACAGATAATTATGTCCACTTTATATTCTCCTATTGGCAGGGTGCAGAAGAATGGAAGTAAAAGGCTATTATAGCTAACATCAAATGGCAGGAAGTGAATATAGTGAGAAACACCCTGACAGAAGAAATATAAAATCACTGTATCCTGTTGGTCTCATGATACTTCTTACATATTCTGCAGCATCTAAATATTTTTTCTGATGGCCCATAGTTTTGACAGGGATACTTTACAAATAACCGTACTGTTGCCTCCATACAAACAACCCTGGAACACTTCTAGCTATGCATATGATTCTACATTGAATATTTTGAGAAAACAAGACTGAGGATTCATCCACACACCCTCCTTTCCCCAGTGTTAAGGTGGTCTACCAACCACTTTTTGAGGTCATGTCCACACAACAGGGCCTCTGATGTAGTGGAAACCTGCTGTATCAAAGTGATCTGGCAGCAAAGTGGCATTTTCCATCAGAGAACCCAATTCATCCTCCTATGAAAGTATTCTTGATTATATGGAGGAGGAACTTGAGAAAGGTCAGCAGGCTGCAAGGCTCTAATTGCCCTGCTGCAAGACTGTCCCATCTCATCCAACTACAAAACTTTCTGGGCAATCAATGCCCAGATATCTTTTATTTTCTTGGTTCTGGTATTCCACAAGGTTGCTATCCTTACCAGCAGTCTCTGCTGCTATCTCCTTGTCCCTCTAGATTTGTTCCCTCTCTAGCAAGTAGCTTGGTTTTCTGCTCACCAACCTGACTCTTTACTTGCTGGAGGAGAAAAACCATAGAGTGATCCCTTACCCCCCTGCTCCCCTCCCTCTTGTTACTTCTGCCTTTACTTCTGTGCTACTATCATAGCAGTCTCTGACAGCTCCCATCTTGAGGATGGGAGGAAAGCACACTGCTAACCCCACATTCCATATGACACCTGGCATTTTTTGAAAACAGATCAAGCAGAAATGAAAGCTATAGGAAAAGGGTAAAGCATCTGCTTTAGATGCCAAGTTCAGTGCCTGGCTTCTAAATGGGGAGTAAAATCCTGAAAACTTATTAATAAATGATCAGAAACGTGTGGATCAATTCAAAGCAAAATCTGCGTAGACAAGGACCAGTGAGTTGAACTTAACAGAAAGGATAACCAGACTGAATATTACAAATAATTTTCTGATGATAGGAGCTTTTAAGCAGTGAAACAATCTCTCCAGAACAGTGTTTGACTCTCCCCCCCAAGAGGTTTTCAATTGGGGACTAGATACCATAACTCAGGGATGTTTTGGTGGATTCCTACACTGAAGGAAAAGACTCTTCCAACTCATATATTCTATGATACATTAAGTCCTTTGCAAATTCTTATATTCTTCTTATAGGTTGAGAAATATGGAATATGAAATGTTTAAGACATTTACTCTGACAATTAACATTTTCTTTAATATAAATCACAAATCAAATGTAAAATACATCATAACTAAAAGGTTCAGTAGAGCTATTTGGACAATATCTTTAAGAATAGGTCTCAGTACCTAAAAAGGAGTTACAGTCCCTTTCCTCTTTAAGTTACAATATGAAGTCAATGAACTGCTAGCCATTCATGGGGCAGCAACAAGTGTCATTTGCCTGCTTTTATGTGCAGGCAAAGGGTCCCACTGCAGACAGAAAACTCAGATAGAAAAGCAGCTGCTTGCCACTCGATGCGAACTGAGGTTTACACAGAAAGGTATCACATAAACAGGAATGATCGGAAGTCCTATTCTGCATAATGATGTAAGACAAAACTCCCAGTAGGTGAAAGCATGAGTTTTAATAAAAGATACATCACAATCCAATATCAAAGTGAATCAATCATTGGAAGTTAAATGGTAGACTTCCATTTAACTTTAAATGGAAGTTAAATGGTAGGCAGTCTAGAAGAAATTCCACCCACACCTCCAAACATGTTCGAAAGCCCTGATGTGTTTGGTCAGAAGCAGAGGGTAAAGATACAGCTGTATCATCAAGAAGATCAGGAAAGTGGCACTGAATTTGCTGCTTGCTTTGCAGCTGCAATTGCAGATCCTAGGATTTCAATAAAGGTGTGCACATCATGGAAAGAATTGTAGAGAGGAACTGGGGCAACACGGAGAGCATCAGGTTCCCGCATGTCACACTGCAAAACATCCAGATAAATATTCAATAAATTGAGTACCTTTGTGTTGGTTTGTGGAAGTGAAAATACAGAAAACCATATGTGAAGCATTCATGTATTTCTGTTAGAATACTGGTCAGCAACCATACTTTCCTAAAAACTTTTAGCCCTGTAATCTGGAAGAAGGCAATGACAAACCATTTCCATATTGTTTTCAAGAGAATTACATGATTTGCCACTAGGGCTTCAACTTCAAGAAGGCTTTATGTACGTATTTTCAGGCTTTCTTTCCAATTGTTAGTCTGTCCTTGGGTCAAATGGTAATCCAATGAACCTGCCATCTTCTCCTTTGGTCACAAAGCTGGGAACATAATAAGTCTAAGAAGTCTAATGTGTTAGAACCAGTTTTGCCTTTCTGCTTATGGAAGGAACCAAAATCCAGCAGAGCACATGCTTGCTTTCACACAAGGTGCATAGAAACTGCAGTATAAAATGATACAGCATTATTTTCAGGGGACATTTTGTTTGGGTAGTATTTGGAAGGATCTGTTTGATATGACTAAAAAATAAAAAATAATAAGAATTTTTAAGAAGGAAGGAAGGAAGGAAGGAAGGAAGGAAGGAAGGAAGGAAGGAAGGAAGGAAACCAACCAGCCAGCCTTTAGACTACTTCATGCTACTGTATATCCAAAGCTGCACATCCCCCACCCCCCAAACTATAGGCTATCCAGCTCCAATTTTCAAAAAAATAGCTGCATATCTATTACAGGGATGTTTAGCCCTGGGTCATTATTTTATGGCTTATGTATGAAAACATTCAAGTGTTGCCTTCCATTGCAGTGACCCAGCAAAGGCTACTGCACCTCATGTCTTCCACTTCTTGTTCCCTGAAACCACATGGTAAAACCACATGCCTTCAACATTTATGAGATCTGAAATACCATCTGAATATTTTAAACTTTGTTTTGATTATTCTGCCCTGCATGTTATAATACAAAAGCAATTCTAAAATTAACACGCTATGCCCATAAAATAAAGCATGGAGAAGTTTCCAACAGAAAGCCCGCATTACTTACAGCCACTCCTCTTTTTTCCAGTTCTTTAAAAACATATCTGATTGGAATAGAGAAAAGTAATGTGAGCTGGCATCCTCTGTTTTCACTGTGGGATGGTGTGACGATTTTTACAAGGGGCTTCTCAGGGTCGTTTCTATCTTTGTCGTAATAGTGCCTTATCAAATATTCCAAGTAACCAGTAAGAAGGATAGATTTTCTTCTCAGGCACTTCATTTTAGCTTGAGCAAAGATCTAATTAAAACAAACAAACAAACAGAGGCATCATTGCTGCATGAAAGAACATTCTTTCCCTACAAAGACAGGCTAACATCAACCATTTCAACTATGCAATACCCTATTATTTATTTATTTGTTTGTTTATTTATTTAAATTGTATTTATTTATATATCAAATTTATATGGCTGCCCATCTCACAAAAAGTGACTCTGGGTGGTATGCAACAATGATTTATTGTCTGACTAGCAATATGATGTTAGTACCCCAAATTTCCCAAAGTTATAGTTAGCCCATTTCTTATATACAGCATCCCCATATTATAGTGACATTTCAGACAGATTGAAGCATTCAGTTCCCCAATATCCCTCCCATTCACCGCAGATACAATGTATTAAAGCAAATACACTTGAAAATGATCTCTTGCTAGCTTAATTATCATGCACATTATCTTCTAAGTACTGTTCTTCTCTGCTTCTGTATATTGTATTTCAAGGAAGATCAGGCACTTCCCAAGAAAGGAATGGCATAAAGCTACAACTTCCACGCAGGGACAACAGGCCTTGTAGGAAACATGTGGATTGGGAGCATTAGGCCCCTTTTGTTAGGATGATGGCACTGAGAACAAATATTCACAACTTTAATGGGGCTGGGATTTGGGGACAGAAAGGGATAAAAACACTGCTTGTCAGCATGTGGAAGGCAACAGAAGCCATCTACCACTGCAGAAACTTTGGGAAATGAGATGCTGTAGACCCTTCCCAGCTGAAGTAGCCTTTATAAAGCCCGTTTGCTTAAGATTTTGCAGAGGAAATATATGGATGAGGAAATATGTCTCCATCGCAAATGTTCTTTCCCTGTAAAAGGAAAGATACTGCCTTCGCTGTGCAATAACATTTGCCTTGTTCAGCTGTTTCTTTAGAAACTGTACCTTCTGCTTAATGTATCCCTGTGCAAGATGGCAGACCATTTTGTAAGTGTCATCTTTTGCCAGAGACACGTCTATTTCACTGAACTACAGCAATTAGCACAAGGGAATCCTGACTGTGCCAGAAGTGTAATGCAAGCACAAAAAGGCAAGTCCATAGAAACTGATGAGCTCTTCCTGCCTTTGACCCCCTGCAGTGGGCTAAATGACAGATCCCCCCTCCCTCATTTGTAAGCACCATCTGGGTCAGAGCAGAGTATCATCTCTAAGGTCATATAAAGTTTACAAAATACAAAAGACGTTTAAGGATAAACCAAATTAATTGCTAAACAGAATGAATGAATAAATGAATGAATGAATGAATAAATAAATAAATGCACACTCTCACTCACACACACAATATACTGCCATATACCCTTGGCATTTCTTAATACAGAATTGTAAATCTTGATGTTTTCAAATAAAACTCTCCAGGTTATTAGTAATTCCATGATTGGTTTTGTTTTGTTTTACTGGCAATGCAATTTAGGAAAAAAAATAGCTTGGTTTTCACTTCCAAAATGTCCCCAAGTGAGACTTCTGCAGCCTGAGATGAATAAAAATATGTGTGAATATCAAAGGATATGGACTGTTGTCAAATAGCACTTTTCATTCAGAGATATACACAGTACATTAGCTTCTGATAGAAATCAGTATGTAAGTAGCAAATTATGAATCAACAACCACTATACTAAGTTTCCCTAAAGATTGCTAATTGTTTTCTACAAAGAAACTAAGTGAAGACATTTGCGAGGTACATTAGATCTTCTGTTCATAGAAATGAAACTTGATATACTAAATTCTGCATTATTTTTTTCTTTAAAAAAATCACTGATTTGTGTCTTAGTAACTCATATAAGATGTGAACAATAATACAAGAGACATTATCACTCTTTTGCTTCCCAATATTTCTCTGAAATTTGAGGATTTTGCTTGGAGTTAAACTCTGGTTCCTCTACGTGATGGATATGCTTCAACATTCTGTGCAGCAACCCATCAGAGTGACTAATAACAACTTCATAACAATTAAGCCTTCTGCTGACACGCATTTAGTTTTCCCAAGCATCAATTGATAAATTAAGAAAAGAAGTCAAAATCTGCAAACTTATATTGGGATTTACTAACTTATTTATACTTCTTTTGTTTAATTTAGAGCCCCCTGGCTCCTACTGACTGTGGGAGGCTTTCACTTTAAAAACAAGTAATAATAAAAAGAAAGAGTTCATGGATGTCCAGATGAGAAAAAGTATACATACCCATAAGAAACAACCTATATGAACTCTGAAGCCACTCTACAGAAGAGCCAAGTGTTACCACCATTATAAATATAGAAAGTATTCCTATTGGTAATCATGTTCCTTAGAACAACTCTATATCATGGTGAAATGTCTGTCTGTCTGTCTGTCTGTCTGTCTGTATCTAATTTGTATGGCCTCCCATCTCACAAAACAGTGACTCTAGGTGGTATATAACACTTAATTAAACCAATAAATATTTATAAAAACATTCATTTTTAAAAAGTATAAAAAAGCACAAGAAGAAGAGAGGATGATGTCAGCCACAGTAAGGGAGCTATCGCAAGATCTCCCTGGTCCCTTGGGACCCCCAGGCCTGAAGTCATAGCCAGGTTTTCAGGGACCTGCAAAATGTTAAGAAGGATGGAGCTAACCTCACTTCTGGGGGGAGAAAATTTCATAAGGTGGGCACCATTGCAGAGAAGGCCCGCCTTCTGGGATCTGTCAAGTGTAATTCCCTGACAGATGGGACCTGCAGCATGCCTTCTCTGCCAGATCCAGTAGGATGGGCAGATATAATCAGGGAGTGGTGGTGCCTCAGATAATCTGGCCCTGACCACATAGGGACAGAATTGTGAAAAAATTGTGACTTGTATACATATATACATATCCATGGCTCAGTTCCTTTTTGGAGTAAGTAATGTTATGCAGTGCACAGAAAAAAAGTAAGAAATAGCCAAATAAATTAAGGGATAAGGAAAGGAAAGGAAAGGAAAGGAAAGGAAAGGAAAGGAAAGGAAAGGAAAGGAAAGGAAAGGAAAGGA